ACATGTTTGCATTCCCTTGGCCTCAATTAGAAGTGATTGATATTTCTTCTACTCAAGTCAATGGAACAATCCCACCCTCAATTGGGAATATCACCTCATTGTGTGCATTCCTAGCATTCAATTGCTCGATTCAGGGACAAGTACCCACTTCCATGATGAATCTATCCCAGCTAGAATTTCTGATGCTTGGTGTGAACAATTTAAATGGTCGGCTTTCACCCTCAATATCCAATTTAAAAAGCCTGCAGCTTCTATATTTGGTTGAAATTTTTTTTGAAGGATCCATACCTGATACAATATGCAGCATTTCCTCCCTCAAGTCCATTGTTTTAGTCTATAACTCTTTCACTGGGAACTTTCCTGATTGCATCAGCTAACTACCAAACCTTTGTTCCTTTTTTCTTGGTTTGAATAAGATGAGTGGAACAATCCCTTCCCTTGCATACTTTTTACAGAACTCCACTCTGGAGATAATAGATCTTGGATTCAGTGGGCTCACTGTAAATGTAGACAGACACTCATTTTCATCAAACTTCCAACTACGAGTTTTTTTATTAGGTTCTTGTAATTTGGGAGGCGAAATTCCAATTTTCATATCCAACCTGACTCGACTGACATTGTTAGGTTTGTCTAATAATAGCTTATCAGGAAGAATTCCATTTTGGTTGTTGAATCTTCCCAGTTTAGGTTCCTTAGATCTCTCTCTTAACAACCTCCGTGGAGCTCTTCCACCTAATATAAAGTTAAAATCATATTTTGGATCAACAGCACTGCTTTTGGGAAGCAATCAACTTCAGGGAGCCATCCCATCTTTGCTTGAGAATGTAGATGATGTAGATCTGTCTAGAAACAACTTCACAGGCCACATACCAACACAACTTGGACTCCAAAACATCAGATACTTGTCACTCTTTGGCAATAAACTTTCTGGTGAGATACCATCCTCTTTTTGTGATGCAAATAATCAGCTCATGCTCCTTGATCTTTCCAATAACAGCTTGAGAGGTACTGTTCCCACCAGCATAGGAAATTGCACATCTTTGATCTTTCTAAACCTGGGAGGGAACAACCTCAGTGGACAAATTCCAAAAGAACTAGAGGGTGCCAAAAACTTGAATTATCTTGACATAAGAGGCAATCTTTTTTATGGTTCTTTTCCTTCAGCCCTCCATAAACTTCAGAGATTAATGGTTCTCAACCTGGGAAGTAACAGATTTGAAGGATCAATCCCACGGTATATTGGAGACCTCCAAGACCTTCGTATTCTGGTACTAGAATTCAACTCCTTCAATGGTTCAATCCCTCAAGACATAACCAAGTTAGAAAAGCTGCAAATCATAGGCTTCTCCAATAATCAACTGTCTGGTCCTATCCCGGAAAAGCTATCTGGTCTGAAGAAACTGACAACACGTACAGTGGATGGAAATCTTCTTGGTTTTGTCATCTCAGGCATCTATGCTGGTGTAGAACTCAAAATGGTTATCAAGGGATTTTTGCGGCATCTAGAGGTGGTCCGCACTTACAACAGTGGCATAGATCTCTCATGCAACAATCTGACTGGCAGCCTTCCATCTGAATTAGGCCTGTTACGTGGACTCTACATGCTTAATCTCTCACATAATGAGATCTTTGGCGATATCCCAGCCAGCATCAGCAGCATGAGTACATTGGAGTCACTGGACCTCAGTTTCAACAGTTTGAGTGGAGAGATCCCAACAACATTGATTCTGTTGGACTTCCTTACTACCTTAAGCCTGTCATTCAACAACTTAAGCGGGAAAATTCCAACAGGACCACACTTTGACACGTTGTCTAGAGATGGCTTGGCATACATTGGGAACAAATTCTTATGTGGAGCTCCCGATGCAGTCATCACTTGTGACAGCAACAGCTCCTCA